CTTCCCTCCTCCTCCCTCCTCCTCCCCCCTCGCCTCCTCCTCGCCTCCTCCCCGCCTGTCAGCGCCCGCACCCAGCCCGCCCTCTGGATTCGAGAATCCCCTCCTTCCTCTTTCCCGGAAGCTTCTGGGTACTGTTTTAGGACCCCAGATTGCCTTTGGTTGCTTCCATTTCAGCAACTCTGCTCCACCGATGCTTTAGTTTTTTTGGTTGTTACTTGCTGCCAATAAAATCAGGTAAAAACCAATGGCTCTCCAGGGCTCTAACAGCAAAATCCAAACCCCAAGGCGACTTTCTCTCCTGGTTTCCCATTCCGTGCACAGGGAGCCGGCCTTGTCCTTCTCTAACGCTCCTGCACCCCTGGGCCTCCTCCTAGGCTGGTGCCTCCGCAGAATCTCCCACCCTTGAGCGTCATCTCTCCATGGGCACCTTCAGGACCAGAGACCTAGATGAATGAGCCTCAGGCCTCACCCTGTACCAACAAGGTGACTTACCGTTGCTCCATTGAGTCTTTACGTTAAGGAAATGCAGCCTGTCCCTAGTCTCTGTGACCCTGGGTTGAAATATACGAGAAAATGGGTCAAGTAGGTCTGTACATTGGTCCACAGTGGAGAAATCACTATTGCTCCATGGTGGCAAGGAACACTGCTACTGTTGGGAGTTGAGGCCCCCAGTAAGTTGAAAGCCACTGGGCTGAAGTTTTCTACATGGTGTAGAAACCCTCCACGTTACATGCATACACACAACTGCACCATCATCAAAACACCACTGAAACATGTAAGGAAAATATAGTTTTACCCTGTGGATGAGAAAAGGGTTTCTATGGAAAGTAACCTCACAGGATCATGATGGGTAGTCACACCGCAGGCATATAACTTTTTTAGTAAAGGTTTTATCTTTGCCTCGAGCAAGCTGTGCCCATTGTTTTTGTGCATTTAGGTTAGCACGCCTTCAAAATAACCACCCTCAAGAAACCACATAATCTTAACTGTCCTGTAATGTGTAATCCAATCCCCACCTCGCTTTCTCCCACCCTCATGTAATATTTACCTTTGCTCCTTAATCTCAAATGTATAAAAGAAACTGCAAAACTATTACTCTCCAGAGCATTTGAGATCTTGCTCCCCAGTATATGTTATCAGTTTGGGCTCAAATAAACTCTTATGAAAATTCTCTGCAGATTTGGACATTTCTTATGTCGACAACCTCAAACCAGTACTGTGTTTAAGTGACTTCCATGGGGAGTCCCTTGTCCCCATGGACTTAAAGGAGAAGAGTGTGTACTGTTTATTTCCTCCTCCATGAGGGGACAGGCAGCTTGTCTCCCCAGGTACCTGGTCACCAGGAATGTTGGACACTGCCAGAAAGGCCTGGGCTTCCACCCATTTTCGGAGCTTGTTAACATTTATCTATTTATCTTTCTTAGTGGGAAAGAAGCTGCAGCCTAACAGTGTTTGCATGTGGAAGTTTGCATGTTTGTCAGCCCACAACCAGTTAGGACTTACCCTGTGGTTAAAGTGACACCTGAGAAGTCAGTAATGAAACAAGGCCTACCTGGAATTTGCATTGCTCATCATTGGGAAAGGTGGTGAATGTTGCCAGGAAAGGTGGGAAAGCAGAATCCAAACTCTCATTGGCTGAAGACTTGGCTGCGGGAAAAGGTGGGGAGTTAGGAGCTGGGTTGGAGGTAGGGCTTGATAGCTGGCTTACCTTGCTTGTTTGGTTTCTTGGCCTCTAAGAGGAAGAAAATACAACAGTCTCTTCCTACCTGGCAGGGGCGTTGCTCACAACATCTGGAAGTAGGCCCAGCGTGACGAGGTGGCAAGAGGCCATGCAGTCCTTGTTTGAAGTTGCAACCCTGGCTCTAGGTCTGCCTCTACTCCATGACACAGAAAATGCAAATTCTAGATATTTCATACCATCCTGGCAGTTCAGCAAATGGCAGTGCCAGGGCTCTGTCTCAGTGGGGTATCAGGGTGCTTAGGTGCTAATGACTAAAATTAGACAAAAGAGAAGCCCCAGTGATGAGCCTATCTATTTTATAAACCTTTACTGAACCCAGGCCCTGCCCTCAAGAGGCTTACTGTCCACTGGGGGAGGCAGACACCCACCGGGCCAGTATAATGCAGTGTGATAAATGAGAAAATAGAGGCAGATGCAGGATGTAGTGGGAGGACTGAGGAGAGGTGCCTGGAACAGAGCGTGAGCATAATGGGTCCGGTGGAAGGGGCTGTTCTCCAGTGAAGTCCTGAAAGGGGTAGGAGGAAGTCTCTGCCAGAAGACAGAGCTCTAATTCTTGCCTCTTCTCCAGAGTCCTCTTTAGTGTCTGAGGCCACCATGCCATTATAGTGATTTTTTAATCAAAGAATCTCTCTGGATTTTGCTTATCACGTGGCTGGCTTGGCTAGCCTTGAAGCCGTGAGTTCTGAGATCACTTTCTGAAGATGAGTAAGATTGTAATTCCCACTGGGCCCAGGTGGAGATCTACTTTCACGATGAATTTGCCCTAGAAATTCACCCCTTCCCATGGAGTTACTTCACACCAGGGTACTTTTCACTAATGTGTCGAGTGCTATCTCACTTTCCACAACCCCTGTGTGTCCAGTATGTGTGACAGAACTGGGCAGGCCTCCCTCCCCACTTCCATCTGCTGTTAACGTTCCCTTGCACTTAAGTGAATAGCTGACCCCCTCTGAGCCTCACTCCACCCTTGTGCTTAAAATCAGTAGAAGGCTGCCAGTCCCTACCTTTTCCATATTAAAAAAAATGAATTGAGATAATAAACTCTTAGAAAAACTAGTTTTCAAACATATCATTCTTCAGAGTAATGTTTCTTAAACGTGGGTGTGCTTCAGAATCATCAATTGGTGGGTGGTGGAGGAAGGGTTTGTTCAAGATGCATTTTCTTTAGCCCACTCACAGTGTCTGACTCAGGAGATTGCAAGTGGGGCTCAGGAATCTGCTAACAAGTCATCCTAAGGACTCTGGATGCCATTGGTCTTTGGATGGCACTTTGACAAGAACTGATACAGACAACCTTATATCTGAGCTCCACAAGTTCACTTAAATGAACTTCCTCTGTCAAGATTTGAACAAATCCCATGAGATTTTTTTTAAAATCTCTGCCCCTGAAAGGAAGCACATAGGGAATCGAGGCTGAGAGGGAGGTCCTGCATTGCACAGGATGGGGAAATGTGCAGTAAACCAGGGTGGACTCTCAGGAATCCATGAAAAAGAGCACAGCAGAGGGGCCACACAACAGCGGGCTACCACCTCCTCCTCCTCCTGTTACAGGAAGCAGACCAAAAACAGAATCTAGATCAAATCCCAAAAGGTCATAGTTCCAATGTCTGGCACTTGATCAGTGTCAGGTATAGACTTCACGAAACCCAATGCTTAGGCCTTTGGCTCACAGCGAACTCAGAATTGTCAGGACAGGAGGGCTGAACTGTTGGCAGTGGCACACACCAGTGATCTCCAAACTCTTTTGATCTGCACCTCAGCCTCCAAACATGTTTTTGCTTGCACCCCTGATATACTATACAGTTGTACTCCTTTCACTAGCTACTACTGACATCAAGGCACAGCTGTTTTTGACATTATAGTAAGGCTCGTCATAAATGATAATAGATATCATTTCAAAGAGTATTGACAGGTTTGAATTTGGAAGGCTGATGTCTTGTCAGATCTGTTTAGATTGTCATTGTTTTTATGTCATAATGCAACTAAGAGCTCATATAAGAAGTGGAAGTGACAGCTAAGTCATTTATCTATCTCTGATTCACTTGTGCAGGCACTGTTAGTATTACCCTCAAACCTTGGTTTCTTTGTAGGAACCCTTAGAAACTACTGTTCATGCTGTAAGGATTACTTTAGTTAAATTATGTAATATACTCTATAAGTTCATTCCCACAGGAACACTTAAACCGTGCTAGGTCCTGTCACAGCGCCCCCAATCTAGTCTCAGAAGACCGCACATACTTGACTGACACAGAGCTATTTGACATACTACGCAATGAGGAAGCAGGCACTAAACTGAAGACCAAATATAAGTGAAGCTACATTCTTATTTTTATTTTAAAAACATAAATACATCAATAAAAGTTTGAGTATTTTCTTCCAGTACCTCCAACAGATAACCTTGCATATTCCAATTTAGAGACTGCTGACCTTATTGGATCCTCCGACCTCAGGGGCCTACAGCTTTGAAAGCCAGCCTTCCTCTCTCAGGAAAGGGACCCAGCAGTTAGGCCCCTGAAAACCGTTCAGTCAGGCCCCTACAACTGAAAGAAATTCTGACAGAGCAGAAAAATCACATGTTCCAGTTCAGACTTCTACTTTGGCATCAGCAATTGCCAAGCTCCCCATACCCGCTTTTGTCAGGTTGTGGGGTAGGCAGACTGAAGACTGCGCTGAGGGCTATGGTAAGTTTGGCCGGGCCCCATAGAGTTTGGGGGACTCCCTTGAGGTCCCTATATTCTTGAGGTTTGTGGGGGAAAGTGGCCAGGTTCCTGGCCTCAGCATGGGGAAACAGCGGCCCCTGGTGGCTTGGATACACCATGCCTCAGAACCTCGGCATCCCTCCTGCTTTAATATTTACCAAACCTCCAGTTCCATGTTCAGGTATTGAGACATGCTTATTTATATAAACATGGATAGGAAAGACTTAGGTTTCTATACAAGTGTATCTGTGTGATCTCAGGCAAATTAGCTTCTCTGAGTCTTAAAGTCCTTAGCATTAAAATGTGATAAGCAAGCATCTATGGC